TTTATATACACATACTTATACTCAAATGATTATTTCCCTACCTCACATTAAATCAGATGTTCTTTATGCTATAAACAACCAAATATGTGTTTCGTGATAGCCTTCTACACGAGGATGACAAATTAAAGAAAATAAAACTAAGTTTAATATTTCAAAATGAGTTACCCATCTGTAAGTAGACAAGTAGATCTGTAAGGCATCCCATACAGATGTAGCACTCCAGATAGGACTCACATGGGTGTGTCCCAGTCAAAAGCCCAGCGGATCCCAGTGGCTGGGGGTGTTGCCAAATTGCTAGAGGGCGTTGCCAAATTTCCCTATTTGTTCAATTACAGGATTTAACCATGAGATGGCGCTTCATTCACAAATACACAAAGACAACTTGGTGTTGTAGAACTTAGTCTGTTTGCAATGTTTGCAGCTCTGCAGTTGTGTTTGTTGAATACTGTAGCATTTAATCACTTATTTGTTATGGTTTTCACAAGCTACTATAATGAAAAAACATCAGTTTTAGATCAAATAAAGTATATAGTTTGCTTTATGCAGTATACTTCTTGTAATATTGTTGGAGTGTTTTTACACAGTACAGTAGATTGAAGTAAATCAACTTATACATTAAGATAAGATAAGATGGACCTTTATTAATCCCGTGGGGACATTCAGTAGTTCAAACAGCAACAGGGTGAGAGTGAAAAACAGGACAGCACAGATTCACACAGATTCATAAAATCAAAAATAAGATGAGCGATAAAAATAAAAATAATGAGAAACTATGTAATAATAAATGAATAAAACTAATATAATTATCATATCATATATTATAATGTATTGTATTATTAAGTAATATCATACATTAACCCCATTATCGCAGATGCCACATTGAATGGATGAACACATTTATGCATCAATAATTACAACAGAGTATTTCTAAATACAAGTTGTAAAAATACTTATATGTATTTAATATTAATAACATAATGATTAATTTCAGATGATAATACTTCTCAGGGTTAGGTCCGGTCTGACAGCGCTTAGCTCTCTGCTGCAGAGAAGATCACTGCTCTAAACAAAGTCAAAAATCCTACATCCAAACGGAATAAATATAATTAATTATGATGCATACGTTAAGTCTTGTTCATTGTTTTTCACTTTTATTAAATGTTTGATATTTCCGGCACAGATCCTTTCATACCGGCAATGCGCGATAGAAACAACAGAAGTGCCACAGTTTGAATATGCCAGTGTTAATTTCGTCAACGAATACTATGACGAAAAATGTTCGTCAACAACCTTTTTTACATGACTAAGACGAGACGATGACGAGCTAAAAATAGATTCTTGATAACGAAAACTATGACGAAATGTATATTTAGTTTTCGTTGACGGGACTAAGGTGTTAATGGTGGACTATCGGACATTCAAAATGCAGCATATTTTCCCCCAAGTGTCCATCTTGTCTGTCAAAATGCATCTTAAGTTTCTAACTTGCAATATCATTATTTCCGCTCTCTTCACTCCAGAAGAGCGATCTCCCTGTGTCTCTCTGTGTGCGGGGGGCGGGGCCTAACAGACACGCTGCAGCGGACACAGAGATCTGCCGGGGACGGAGCGTTCAGAGAGTATAGAGACACATTTTGACTAAAAGTTGACTAAAATGTAATTTTTCATCGACTAAAAGTTGACTAAAACTAGACTAACACGTTTTGAGTTTTCGTCGACTAAAACTAGACTAAAACTACGAAGGATAGGAATGACTAAAATGTGACTAAAACTAATAACCATTTTCGTCTAAAGACTAAATCAAAAACAGCTGCCAAAATGAACACTGAAATACGCGAACACAAACCTACAGACTGGGGGTTGGGAGATCACAGGAGGGGGGGGGAGCTGTGGAATGTGACCACCCCCCTTGGGAGACTTACTCCACACATTCCGATGGCCAATTAGTTTTAAACTAAGAGTTTGCAGCATACAGCACAGGCAACATGGGGGTGGGGGCTTCTCAAAAGATTTTTGTTTGTTGTTGTTTTGTGTCAGTTTTACGTCGCCACTTCCATTCACATTTTCATCATTGTTCCACAATGTTTTCATGAAATTAATATCCATATATTTTATACTATACTTGCACTGCTTACCGTTTTCATACTTTATATATCTTAGCATATTCACACTGTTAATACTGCTCACAGGCTGCTAGTGTATTCATACCCAAGCTCACTGTTTATTCATCATTCAATTCATTCTATATGTTATTCTGTAGATTGTGTACATTACTTTTCACTTTACTGCTTGTTGCACCGTTAGAAGCTAAACTAAATTTTGTTGTCTCAGTACCTGTAATCTGTGCAATAACAATAAAGCAGGCATCTTTATTGTAGCCTCAACAATCAAGTTCTAAGTAGTGCAATATGAAATAAAAACTAAAAAAATCTGTGCTGTTGTATTTGCTGTAAAGTGTCTCTACTGTAGGCTATTTTTATTATATGTACAGCACTTTGGCTCCACCAAACATCGTTTATAAATGTGCAATATAAATAAAACTTGATTTTGAAAAACAACTACACTCTTTTGGCAGTGTTGTGGTGCCGAGAGATGGGAGTCGGAGGCGGGGTATCAAAGGTCCAAGCTAGACTTTTATTTAGCATCTGAAAATTCCCGGGAAGCGAAGACCGGCGGAAACAGGAAGTCCGGTTCACTAAAATGTCCGTGCAGAACAATACCCCAACCCATAGATCCGTGGGTGAATAATGTCAATCACCACAGTGTACACATTAACAACAACTACACTATTTTGGCAGTAACAATTAGATAAATAATAAACTGTCAGACTGACACTGAAGACAAACAAACTATTTTCAGCAATCAATCTGTTTAGTTGACATGTGGCGATTTAAAAAGATCGTTTTTTGGCTGTTTAGATGGTGTTGCTCCATCTGGGTCACTGCCGGTGGTTGAGACGGTGGGGTCTTTGGCGACTAGTTTTATAGCCTCATGTACATTAGTTAGGCGCTTCAGGAGATTGGCATTGCTGTTATTCGATGTGGACAATGCTTTCTGTCCTGCACACAGTTTACATTTGACCATAATATTTTTTGCGTCCTTTATCTCCACAAATTGAAAATAGTGGTTATATCTCCCAGTTGTAAATGCGCTGCTGCTCTCGCTGATACTTGCATCTGCCATAGTGTGTGTGTGTGTGTGTGTGCTGGTGGTGAGCGTTGCCGTGTATGTGTGTGTTAGCAAGTGTTTGTGTGTCTGTGTAGTTTCCCCATAAGGCAAGACCCGCCCAACTCTGTCTCTGATTGGCTTACCCTGAAATGTTACCCCGCGTTAACCAATCATCACTCCTCTCTGGTTACTTTCACTTTTCCATGGTGCTGTGAGAGGACATCGCTGTGTTCGCCTGTAAGCTACATCCGCAGGGAGATTCGGTTCAGTTCCATCACATAATGTAACGCACCCATTTAAATCACAGTAACTATAACGGCGTTACTGAATGGGAATAGGTCACTAGTAACGTTATTAGTTACCGCAAAAGGTAGTTGCGTTACAGTAATGCGTTAGTTTGTAACACGTTAGTCCCAACACTGGTAAACACACACCTGATCACATGAGAGCTGCCGTTTCATTCAGACAACGGTCTGATTTTAACGACTCAATGTGTGATTGTTATAGCAGTAATATTAGACACTAATAATACAGTAAACTATTAACACTGTACATATTATTGTTTGCCCGTGGGATTAGGATGATCGGTAGTGAGAGCCGTGCTGCATTTCCCTCCGGTCGGATGTGATATAAAAACAAAGCGATTATTTTTGTTGTTGTAAACTCACGTGAATTAAACAACATTATTTTGTTAAATAAAAACATGGGGATGTTTTGTAAATGATTACATGTCTCTTATTTAGCACAGAATATGATCCTATCCGTGACATATGGATCTTAACAAATATCCGATCAGATACCTGTAGATCTATCAGCTGTTTATTTCACATGAGTTCCAGTGTGGCAGCTTTTCACGGCTCCCCCTGGTGGAGCCATGATCCATTGCAGCTGGTTTCATTAAAATTACATTTATTTATCAAGGGGGCGTATCAAGTCCTGCGGGGGGGGGGTTTTCCTTTTCAGCAGGGGCCCACCCCGTGCAGATCACGGACCCGCACGGGTAGGCGTCTGAAATGAAGCGCTACATCTGTATAACCTGGCTGAGCCAATATAAAACAATCAGCCAAATAACTTTTCAATTCATTATTTATTACTATTGTTGAGGTACTTTTAGGTTGGCAGTGAACATAAGTCAGAGGTGCATGGTGTACTTTTCCTCCACTACATGTATTTAATACCTTTAGTTACTTCACAGATGTGGATGAATGATGTGAAATATAATCAAGTGTTGAATCAGACTTTAGTTCCACCTGGAGTAAATCCACCAGCTACCCTGCAGTATACAAAGTACTTCAAACTAGCTGCACCTTTACCAGCTTTGAGAACACTTTCATGATCAATCATTATAAAACATATCATATATATTATTCTGAAATGGACCAATCTGCACAACGACTACTTTTACTGTCGCTACTTTCACTATATTTTGATTGAGGGACTTTTACTGAAACAGAGTATTCCTACTCTGGCTCACTTTATGCTGCGTTTCCATTACAGTTTAGGAACTGGGGCAGTAACTATAGTAACTATAGTAACTATAGTAACGCAGTGTAGGCGGAGCCGTGACGTCATCTTCAATGCAAAACACAAAACCAACACCAGCCGTTAGCTGTTAGCACTCAGAGCTCACAGCTCCTCATATCTGTTCAGAAACTAGACAGAAGTTAAACAAGTACAAACCACAGACTGTCTGTGTCATGGAGAATACAGTCGCTGCTTTATTTCTGTCTGGAGGCCGTTGTTGTGAGTGTGGACGGTCGGAGCATATACAAGACGCCCGCCTGGCGGAAACGCTGAAATTAGGAATATATTGTGATGAAGTGCACACTGACCTGAGCTCCAGGGGTCTCTTTCTTCTTAAATTGATCCATTTAGTCAATGTGATGCTAAGCAGAGGAGAAAATGATAGAAAGGTCAGATAGTTATTAACGTTACATGCAAATGACTTTAACCATTACGATAACAAGTTATTATTATTAATATAATACAAATATTTAGATGTAATTCATCGTAATCTGTGTAGCAACTTACATTCTAATTTACAGCTCACAGTTCGTTTACTTTTATTTCATTAAAATGACATTAATGGTTGTTTGAACCATGGTTATAACTCTATCTGTGTCATTACCTATCACCAAGTTAACACAGAAAGCAAACATTAGCTAGAGAGACTGTTTAATGTACTCCATGTATACAGTATTCTCTGTATATTGTGTATTCTTTAGATACTCTAGTGATATGTGTCCTGTGTGTAAACTTGCTGCTAATGCTCAATTTGTATTATATCTTATTGCATCTTTTAAATATGTTTAACTCGTGTAATGCCTGAAAACACTTCTGCTGTGACACAATCATTTCCCAGTTTAAGATAAATCATTATTTAAATGAAGTATAACTATTTATCTAATGAGCTAAACCGTCACTTAGCATTAGCTGCTAACTGAAGAACCCCATTCATTTCAATGGGAAAAATGCTACGTCACGGTCAATGGCGATGCTAATAAGCTAGTTAGCATATATTTAAAACCATATCTATGGTAAAGAGCACCAACACAACAACTCAAACTGTCTTAAAGACAACTGGTGTAATAAATAACTAACAAAGTCAGCTGAGCATTACAAATCAATTGTTACTCACCCAGAGCCGAACTGGAATAATAACTGTAGCTGTTAGCTGATAGCTGTTAGCTGTTAGCCGATAGCTTGTAGACTTTAGCTGTTAGCCGATGGCTTTTAGACTTTATTTAAAGATAATTTGAGACTATTTTTGGCGCACATTTTAAGTTTTTTTGTGAGTTTCTTTCTTCCAAGATTACAGCTGTTGTGTTGAATAAAATAACTTCTGATTCGTGATGAACTGTAAGCTAAGCTAACAGGTGTAAATACACTTAATGAAACCTCTGTAGGTGTTTAATCCACTCACTTCGTCTTCACCTTCGTCTCTCGGTTTTTTTTGGCGGATTGCAAAGAATTTAAAGGTGCATCTTCTTCTTCTCTCGTTTTTGGTGGATTGCAAACAACTTGAAAGGTGCATACCGCCACCTACTGTACATGAGTGTCTTGGCTTTTAGCACCATAAGCTGTTAGAACGAGATAGGTCTGGATGCAGACCGTAGCAAGGAGGCGGATCTTATAGGGGCGGATCCTATAGGGGCGGATCCTATAGGGGGCGTTTCCTAACTTTTTTTATCCAATAGAATAATGACACTCAGCAGAAATACATACTGTAGGTGGCAGTAATGCAATTTAAGGGATTCCAGCTGCTTTTATAAATCCTCGCAGAAGAAGTCATTCGTTCTTTCAAGATGGCCGAACAACAAGTTGAAACAGCGGTGTCACTGTCACTACCCGATCTGCAGCTCTGCCCGATCTGCAGTGCGCATGTGCGAGATGGTCCGCCATATTGGACAACTCCGGACGGCAACCCAAGTAGGACAATATTGACACAGTGGCTTTTGGCAAAGCTCAAAAATAAAACGAGAGAGAGATGAGTTATTGTTATTACAACGTGACTTCACTATTATTTAACAACTCTTTTTATTGGGTTCTTTTATTTGGGGTTAAGTACATTGTCAGAATAAGTGAGAAATGGATTTAACTTCTGTTAGACAGCTATATGCCATACATTTTTGCACACATTCACAGTAAATATGTATTCAGTATGATAGCTTTCTAACAGAAGTCCATGCAGAAAGCAGAGCAGTGTGTATAATATATATCACTCAGTAGAACAGGCCTACTCTCTTTATTTGCTTTAGTTTAGTAGATATCTACAAACAAAGAGTCGATATTTTTCTAAAACCATTGCTTCACATAATAAAATACTCAACGGCTTATGCTTTAGGAGCTGTAGGTGTGTGTGTTGTACAGTGTGTAGGTGTGTGTGGTACAGTGTGTAGGTGTGTGTGGTACAGTGTGTAGGTGTGTGTTGTACAGTGCGTAAATGCGGCGGACAGACGGGTCTCAGTTGGTTTGGTGTCCTCTGCTTACTTTTAATAGGCCTACTTGTAAATACAACCTTTGGCCCGTAATTTCAATTCCCCATTTCAGCGACCAGAGAGAGGGGGGGGATATATCCAGTCTCTGATTGTGTTACGTTATTATGAGAGTGCTCTCATACTTTAAATTGTATATATTTATATAAATATATTTGTGTGTGTGTGTCCGCATCTGTAGCCTGTTATTGTCTCATTATACCGCACTCTCAATGAATTCAAAGTAAATATGTGGGGGAACAATGTTCAGCTGATCTAACAGAGATACAGCGCTATGACAAAACACTCGACAGCTGATGCAGCTGTTGCCACGTAATAATGAACGGACGTCTCTTTAATATGACCGCTCAGAGGAGAGGAGTTCTCATTTCTTTAAACGTCTGCTGCTTCCCCTCCTCTCTCCTCGGTTCCCCTCCTCAGTCCTCCGCTCGCATCTCCTGTGGGCGGGTCTAAGTCTCGAGGAGGGGAGTCGAGGAGGGGAAATTTGAGTATTGAGAAGCCTCTATTGTCTTTTTTACACACACACGCACTATCGTATACACACACAGATATATAGACATCTGTAAATCCCATCACTAATACTTTCTTGTATTTTCTCAGATGTGTCCACGTACTGTAAAAGGTGTGGGCTTTGTGGACATTTCTACCGATATCAAGAATGGACAAATGTTTGTTTAATAAAGACTTTCCTCTTTGTATGTACTGTATATATTTTTTAATTAATCTTACCACCAGACACAACATGAACAAATCAATGATACACATCAGGACAGTAACTTCAACTTCAGTATTTTAGGTGTACAGAAACCTCTACTCATGTTGTTAAATGATATACAGCAATATCTTCCATAAAACGTAGTTGGTTGATTTGAATAATAATTACTACCACTGCACAAACAGTGAAAAATGATATGCCTACAATTTATGAATGTGTCTTCTCTGTGGGTTGTATAGTCTTCATTCTTTATGCAAATTAATTATAATTATTATTTTTCAAAGTTCGTTTGATTCATTCAAAACATTAAAAACAGAGAGCGTCATATACCTTTAAGAAATACGTGGGGGGCGGGGTTCATAACCCTTTAGGAAACGCCCCCTATAGGATCCGCCCCTATAGGATCCGCCTCCTTGCTGCGGTCTGCATCCAGACTCTATGGAGAGGCGAAGTCACGCCCATCTACTTCCGGACCATGGGACCCCGGAAGCGAAAAATGTACATTGAATTCAATGGAGAGAGAACACGTATCTTTTGATCCCGTTTGAATTGTGCCACGAACTACACATATGATGTTTGTCAATCTTAAACAATCATTTCCATGTCAAAAAAGTCACATTTTGTCGTAAAACTGCTGAAATATAAGACAATGAAAAATACGCTACTACAAAGACTACAAATCCCAAATCCCATTCTGGGTCGCGTAAGTGATGTCACAGGCATGCTCGGTGATTTATAATAAGACTCGTAATTAAAGCGAAGAAGAAGAAGATCTCATAACTGATTTATTCCCTCCAATAAATTATAGATCGCTAAAAATAAATTCACTTTTACAAGATGCCTGTGTGATTTGTACCAGGTTGTAGTCATAAAAGTGATCATACCACTTGCTCCTTCTATCGATTCCCGTCTGATGAAAGGACCAGGAGTCGCTGGATCAGACATATCAGGTAATATCATAGGTAATATACATGTTGTGCATGGAACATAGTCAAGTTAGCTACCTAGCTAGTAGCGACGAGTAGCGAGCACGTTAGTTAGCATTACATTACTTAGCCTTGTCATTTTTAGTAGCCTTACCATGAAGTTATTATTTTATTACATGAAGTAAACTAAAATGTTAAACAGTAACCAAACATGATGGTAAGTATTTCGTGAAACTTTTGAAGAGTAGCCTACTGCGCCCTCCACCGGGTGCTAAGGAAGCAGTTCAGGGAGAGTCGAAGGCAGGCAGGGAGCTTTGCATGACATTCTTCTGGACGTGTTTCATTGTGATGACAATCTGTTTGTTGGAAAGACAGTCGTTGTGTGCTTATTGAGAGAAAATTGTTAGAAGAGATAATTATTCAAAGTGTTGTTATTTTAAAGTGTTGTTACTGACCTTTTTCTCTTTTATTTTCTTTACCTCACCTGTAACTGCTGAGACGTTGAGGAACATGCACACTGACCTGCTCTGGCAACCTGATTTCCACTGTACGTAATAGTATTTGGTTATGGTATATTATTTATATACATCAAAGGCACAATGCACCCCCCAGAGACACACATGTATTGAGTGTGATATTTTGCATAGGTCATGTGAAATCATCTTTACATACTAGAAAACTGTAGGAGCGGCAACTTGTTTTGAAATTGAATTTTTAATATCCGATAATAAAGTTGATCTGTTTTCTTTATTCTTCTCTCTTCCCAGCTCCATCACCATTCTCTGTTCCTGCAGGTCCTGCTTGCTAATCAATGCTCATATTTGTTTACACAATTACAAATAAAGTCATTGTATTGTATGACATGAAGTTGTGCTTCATTCGGAGTCAATAATAAATTCATTCTGCCTTCAACTGCGCAATGATTGTGGACTGCACCGACATCCATGTAGCTGCCCCCCAGTAAGATGAACCAAGCAAAGAGGGTCCCCATCATGCCCAAGGACATCCAGCTGGCCTGCCGCATCCGCGGAGAGAGGGCTTAGACTGACCTGAGACCAGCACACCCAAACACAACAGCTCTTTTAAGAGCCACATACATTTTCAAAGAGTTGCAATCCTACGTTATTATAATGATTAAACTGGTTCATGTATCACTTAGTTTACTGAACCGTGATGAATGAAAGTGAAATGAGTGAGGTAGTGGTTTACTGAAGTTACAAAGACATTAATATATGAGTAACAGGTCAGTGTAAACACAAGCTTCTGTCAATTATGGATCATTCAAACTATTTATATAAAAATATGTAATAAAGTTCTAAAACAAGTATTCGGTATATTCCTTGATAGCTTTTGGAGAAGGTTGTTTTTAAGTTTACTAAAATCTATCGTTTCAACTGTTTCACTTTATAAAAAGGGAACAGGTGAGTAAAGCATCATTGAGTTTCTTATTCTGTCAGTAAATTATCCAAATTAATGTTTTTCATTATTTTAGTCAACCCTAAACAAATTGATTGTACCTTTTAATGATGATCTTACATGGTCGGCAAAGTTAAATTAACTTCAGAAAATCAAATCTGTTCTGAGAAAAAACTAATAAATGTTTAAAGATAGGAACTTGCCATCCCACTGAAAAACAGTCCGTAGAGATTTAAAGGCGTAGTTGTAGTTCAGTCCAACGTTTCATTTGGATTCATTTGACAACAGTCAACTATTTTCATAAAGAATATATATATGTTTCAAAGTCAACTTTATTGTCAATCTTACTCAGTTTGTGTTTATAGACAGAGAGATCAAAAAGACGTTTAAATACAATTATACAATTTACAGATATGTATACAAATATATATATCCTATATACACCATCATGTATAATGATGGTGTATTATGTAGAAGGAAGTGTGGTAGATAACAAGTAAATATAGAGTTACATACAGATCCATGTTACAGCAAAAGATGGAATAACTAAGAAGCACGCAGTATAATAATAATTACATGCAACAATTAAATAACTGCTCAGCATCTCCACCACAATCCCAATCTGCTGTGTCCTGTTTTCCTCCCCTCTGCATAACACCCCATCACACATACGAAACACAACGCAGAGTCCGAGGGTGTTAAGAGTATGTTTATTGAAATGTCCTCCTCTCTACTGGCCAACACAGGGAGCATATGCTG